AGTGTGACCATGCGGACCACTCGCGCGTCGGCGGTACGCGCGTGTCTCACTGCTTCCAGAACCTTCATCACCGACGCGCGGACGACGTCGTCGTCGTCGTCGGCTTGGTCAGCATCGGCGCCGTCACTGACCGTGCCGTCGCTTTTGTCATCATCGTCGCCAGCGTCGCTACTACCAGCCAGCATCGTGTCCACCGTTGTCGACGTTGCCATGATACCGCGCCCGCCCATTTCGCCGACTCGCACTGAAGTGCCCGCTAGGAAGTGCCTAGAGGTCAACGCCACCGCGGCCGCGTCGGTCGCTCCACACTCGCTGGCCGCTGCGCGCGCGAGCATGCGCGGGCTAGCGTGGCTGCATTGATGCAGCAGCCACCGCCAAGCATTCATCGCAATCGCCGCCGCATGCGTTTTACAATCCAAGTTGCTGGCATGTGTGTGGGATCATTGCGCGAACAGTGGAGTTGACATTGCGAGGTCCACCTGTGAATTGCGCCACATATATTGCTCCACGTGAGCTGCACTTCGTATGCTTTCCGATCTAAGAGAGTATTGGGATCTGCCCTCTTGGATTGAACGGGCCATCTGTTCCGTATTGCAGTTTACTCATGAGTTCGTCCCACCGCCCATCCGAAATATGAACTCATACCATCCCAGCCAAAGGGGCGTCTTGGGCTCCTCTTGGCGGCGCTTTGGGGCCCTCTTGAGGGCCTCATAGGGTATCCTGGGCACCTCTTGGGGCCGTCTTGGGGCACCTTCGCGAGGCTCGGGGGCAATTTCGGGGCCATCTTGGAACAGATCGATGGCTCCTCAATTTGGCCCCCACCCAGGAGGCCAACCTGCGGCCAACACCTAGGTACAATTGATGATGTTGGCCTTCTCGCCGAGTGCTCTGGGGGCGTTTTCGGTGCTCCTGGGGGGCCTTTGGGGAGCCTCTTGGGGGCATTTTGGCGGGTTTCCTGGGACCTCCTGGGGGCACCTCTTGGGGCACTCCTGGGAGCATCGGTGGCCATCTTGGGGTCATCTTGGAAGAGACCGACCAAAGGAGGGTGGCGTCTGAATTAGGGCCTCCCCCCCAGGAGGCCAGCATGCACCAAAAACCTTAGGAACATCAGTGGTGCTGCCTTCTGCGCTGAGGCCATCTTGGACGCTCCAACCTCTGGCGGGAGGCCCCGCCCAGAGCCAGGGGGAGGGGGGGAGGAGCGGTCGAGGCCCCCCAGGACCGCGCGCCGTCTCGCTCACTCCCGCCTGCCGTCCCAACACAGAAGCAATCCTGGCATCGCCCGGACGTGTGCAGTTTTCTTTCGGCGAGGGCCATCGAGGAGCATCCTTGATCATTTGGCGAAAAAAACGCACGCACGAAACCGAAACAAACACAGGGAATGGACGTCCGAGCAGTGGCCAGTAACACCCGAGTCTCAGCACGTCGCCGAGGAACGCCGCGCATGCCACGTGCGCCACGGGCTCGAGAGCACCGGGCACCCCGGAGGCCCACGAGCGCGGAGCGCGGCAAGTGTGCCAAGTGCGCCACGACGTCCAGCCGCGCCGGGTGCGCTGCGTGCTCGGCGCGCGCATTGCGTGCGAGGTGCGCCATCGCACAGCCACCACCGGGTGGATTCTGTCTTGTCCTTTGACCGGGATGGTGTGCCTGCGCGCAGCAGAGAATATGTTGGCACCCCCGCCATCCCTGTCAAAAACCTATGCAGAGTGGTCGCATGGCGCTCGCCGAGTGGTCGCGGGGCGCCCGCGCATGCTCTAGATTTGGAGGCACAGTGCATTCTGTATTGCTGTTTGATCTGGACGAACGGCTTGCGCGCAACTTGCGCGCAACACAGCATGCCGGCACCCCTGCCGTCCCTGTCAAGACCAATGCAGAGTGATTGCGGGGCGCCCGTGCATGCTCGACATTTGCAGACAGAGTACTTGTTTTTTTTTGTGGGGGCATGTCCCGGGTTGGCCCACAGACGGGTGGGGGAGGGGGTGTTTATCAATAAGGAGCATCGATCATTTTCGCCGAGCGCGTTCCCCTACTGCAAAGTGCCTACTCGCAAACGTCCGAAAACCCATCCTTTAGGGGGATTGGGAGAGGAAGCGCTCTAGTCCACTCGCGCCCTAAGGGGCTGGTGGGCCACTCCCCACACTAAAAATCAATTGCTTACGCTTCGCGAGTCCCCGCCAGCCCAGTCAGGAACCCTGCCCACGAGAGCTGACGGGAAACGGAAAGCAGAGACGCATATAGTGTTAAATCGGGCATGTCCCTCTATTGGAGGAAATTTCAAACATAGTCGGACAAATCATATGGGGACGACGTTTTGTATATTTGTGGTCATTCATGCGCAATGTTTTCGTATTTTTGACTTTTTGAACAACATCCGCCTGTAGGGGGACATGCCCGATCTAAATATAGTGAAACGGAGTTGTTAAAACGAGAGGAGGGGGAGGAACGTGTTGAGCCATGTTGGGGACTAACTTGGAGCATCAGAGGCCTTCTTGGAGATTTGCCGATTTTGGAGGGGCGTCTTGGGGTCCTCTTGAGGCTCACTCGGGGCATCTTGGGGGGCTTTTTGGGGGGTCTTGGGGTCTTCTTGGGGCTCTTTTGGGACGTCTTGTGGCCCTCTTGGGACCCCTCTTGGGGCCCTCTTGGGGCTGGCTTGGACCTCTCCTGGGAGCTTCGGAGGGCCTCTTGGGGCTGTCGTGGAGGGTGTCGGTGACAAGAGGGGGGATCCTAACGTTTGGCCCCCTCTCGGACCATCAAAATGGCCTCTTGGGGCCCTCTGGGGGCGATCTCGGGCGCTCTTGGGGCCGTCTTGGGGGCCTGTTGGGCCCTTCTTGGAGCTCTTTTGGGCGATCTTGGGGCCATCTTGAGGCCACAAACGCGCATCGGAAGCGAAAAGGCGAGAACGCCAAAATCATTGGTTTTCCATAGGTGTTTGAACAATTTTGGCTTCTCGGGGAGGTCCTGAGGGGTCTCTCCAAAAGCACTTGGATCCGTCTTGTGGCCTTCTTGGGGCCTCTTGGAGGTATGTCGTTAGCTATCTTGATACATGTTGGGCTATCTTGAGCGATCTTGGAGGCCATTTTGGGCTTTCTGAGGTCCTCTTGGGGCCATCTAAGGTCATCTTGGACGCCCTGACCGCTTGCGACCCCCCCCCCGTCCAGGTCCAGGGTAAGGGGTAGGGGGAGGGGTCAAGACAACCACCCGCCCGCAAGCCGTCTAGCTCACTCCCACCCGCCCTCCCTATACATAGTACCCGGGCCTGAGCATGTTCAGCGGTCGTCTTTGGATGGGCAGCTATTGGGAACCAACGCCGGCCCCAGGTGCGCGACGTTTGGGCGAGGTGCGCCACGCGCGCCAGGCACCGCTGGGGCCCGAGCGTGCGAGGCACGCCTGGTGCGCCAGATGCGCCACGTGCTCCGAGTGCGCCAGGTGTGCCGCACACTCCCGCCGCGCCAGGTGCGCCGCGTGCGGGGCACGTGCAGAGTGCGTCAGGGGCGCATGCGCAGGTGGCAGCACACATCGGGAAACATGTCGGCCCCCGCCATCCTTGTCGAAAACCGATGCCCATCATTGTGTCTGCTGGCCCTGCGCACAGCAGGCCATTCGCCACCACCCCCGCCGTCCCTGTCAAGACCATTTGACAGTGATAGCAGGATGGCCGCGCATGATCCAGATTTAGCCGCGAGGTGCATGCTGTATTGATTTTTGTGTCGGGGATGGTAGCCCTGCGCGCAGCAGGGAATATGCTGACACCCCCGCCGTCCTTATCCAAAACAATACGAAGTGCTCGCGGGCCTCACGAACGTGACTCAAGACTTTGCCCCAAAGTGTGCTTTGCATTGGTTTTTGACAGGGATGGTGGCGGGGGCCGCATCGGGTTGGCCGCGCATGCTCCAAATGTGGAGGCAGAGTGTTGTTTGTATTGTTTTTGACAAGGATGGCGGGGGGCGGGGGGGCATGGTGTCGGCATGGTGCCTGGTTGGCTCCGGTCGCCTGAGGGAGGGGGTGTATATTTATAGGGAATAATGGACCCCCCCCCAGAGGGGGAGAGGGGTTCTTTAGGACGAGGAAAGAAGTATCCCCGTAGACCGCCTGTCGCCCATAGGGCTAGCGGGAATGTTGTGGGGGCCTGTGAAGAGGGAACTTGGCAACATCATTGACGCGTCTTGGGTCTGCACTGGTCCTCGTCTCCTCCTCCTCTTTCTCCTCCCTCCACCTCCTCCTCCTCCTCCTCCTCCTCCTCCTCCTCCTCCTCCTCCTCCTCCTCCTCCTCCTCCTCCTCCCCCTCACCTCCTCCTCCTCCTCCTCCTCCTCCTCCTCCTCCTCCTCCTCCCTCTCCTCATCCTCATCCTCCTCCTCCTCCTTCTCCTCTTCCCCTCTTCCTCGCTCCTCTTCGCTCCTTCTCCTCCTCCCCCCTGCGCTCATCATGCCGCAGCTCTCCGGTCCTCCGTTCCTGCCACGCGGCCTTCCCGCCGGCCTCCCGAAGAGCAACTGGGGGGGGTGGGCCAGGGCAGGCACAGTTGGACAGAGCCCTCTGCGACGAGGAGACGGAGGAGGAGGAGGAGGAGGAGGGTATGGGGCCGCGGATCGAACACGCTGCCTCGGAGGCCGTCCGCGCCAGCACGGCGCGCTGCTCGCGCCGTCCGCGCGGTCGGGGGGGAGGGTGTCGATTGCTCGATGTTTGCTACACACTTTGCAGCATCCCCATCTCCCTCTCTCTCTCTGTCTCTTACTCCTGCAAGCGCTGGCACGTCTCTCTGTCTCTCTCTCTGTGTCTCTCTGTGTCTCTTACTCTTGCAGTGTGCGAGTGGCGCCTGCAGGGCGCCAGGAGCAGGCGGCCTCGAGGGCACTCGGCCACGGGCGGTGGAGGAGGGACACACGCCGCGTGAGGCTTCGCTTCACACAGGGGGCGCCCCCTCGTGGCCCGTCTGGCCGGTCTCTCGGCCCCTCGGGGAGGCCAGGTGGCCGCGGACCCGCCGCCGCTCGAGCCCCGCCGCCGGGCGGAGGTGGGCGGCCAGAGCCAGCTCGTCAAGTGCGGGCTGAACGGCGAGGCCGCCGTGCGCTTGGAGGCTGGGGGGCGGGGGGGCGCGAGGGTGGGTCGACAGTGGTGCTCTTCTTCTTCTTCTTCGGAGGAGGAGGAGGAGGAGTAAGAGTAGGAGGAGGGAGGTGGAGGGAGGTGGAGGGAGGTTGTAGGCAAGAGTTCAACCCCCTTTTACTTCCTCCTCGGCCTTCCTCGTCGCTCTCACCATCGCCACCATCCTCCTCCGAGGACGATCCCAATGACCCCCCCTTGTCATCCTCGTGCTCCTCCCCGTCATCCTCTCAGTTCGCTTCCGCTGCGTCCAATTTTTGCGACATGTTGGCACAGGTTGAGCTGGTTCTGAAGCAATTCCGCGCCGCCCTGCTCAGGTCTCTGGATCCGTTGGCTGCGCTCTCGCTCTCGGGGCCGTCTTGGGGGCCTCTTGGGCCCTTCTTGGAGCTCTCTTGGGCCACTGTGGGGCCACCTCGAGGCCTCAAAAGCGCATGAGATGCGAAAAGGCGAGAAGACCAACATCATTTGTGTTCCCTAGGCGTTTGACTGATTTGGGCTTCTCGGGGAGGTCCTGAGGGGTCTTCAAAAGCACTTGGATCCGTCTTGTGGCCTTCTCCCCTCCCCCAGAGGCGGAGTACAAGGTGCTCCAGAAGCTCCGAGGCCACGCCAACATAGTGCAAGCCTACGATTGGCGCGGGCCTCAGGGGAGGGGGGAGGCCTCGCGGCGAGGGAGCGGGGGGGAGGACGGGTTAGGAGGAGGCGGTGGATGAGGATGCGGCAGGGGGGAGGGGGAGAAGGAAACGGGGAAGGGATGAGAAAGGCGAGGGAGGAGAAAGGAAGAGGATGAGGGCCAGAGTAACCCTGGCATGCGCTAGCCGTGCTGCCAACATACATCCCACGTCTTCTCAGAAGTGACTGCGACCGTTTTTGATCATTGACGCCCCCAGTTGTGAATCATTGGCCTGGGATCGTATTCGTTCGGGCACGTGTCACAGCAGCGCCGTGTTGTGCCTAACGCTGCCTCCGCGCCAACGCTGCTGCCAGCTGCCTGTCGTGAATCGCGCATGGTGTTTCGAATGCTACCGCACTCGGGTGCGACGAGCAAGACGACATTTCTCTCACGGTGGCGGCTTGCCCTGGCACCAGGGCCTGGCTGCCGACTTGCTCTGGCCCAGGGCCCGGCTTCAGAGCAGAAGTCCACTGCGCCTCGCTCCCTTGTTCGGGCCCCTGGCACTCACGAGGCTCCGGAGCAACGACCATGACGCGCCTGTTTTCCACCACCACCACCAGAAGCTGGAGAGGGGAAGAAGGTTTGAGGAGGAGGAGGAGGAGGAGGAAGCGGAGGAAGAGGACCCCCTCCCCCACCTATTTGTGGTGGTGGCAGTGGAAGAGAAGCCCACCAGACCAGCTGCGCCGAGTGCAGCTTTCTCCCCAGGCAGGTGCTGCTCTCGTGCGCACCCGTGCCGAGGCCTCCAGGGCATGGATCGGGGAGGCACCAGCCTCCCCTTGGGCTCAACCTCCACACGTCGACTGGCCTCTGTAGCAACTTGGGCCTCCGTAGCAACTTGGGCTCAACCTTCACACGTCGAGCACTGCACACCGGCCACCGAGCATACCAATCCCTCATCCATGAACTTGCACCCGGCGGTCGTTGCAGGCAGGCAGTTCTGGATTCCCATGTTCCAAGCTTCTTTCGAGCGCCTTCCTACTTCAAGGATCGAATGGCTTCACGTTTTCCGTCCTCCTACCTGAGGCGTCTTGGAGCGATCTGCCGAGGACTTCGGGGCCCCCTCGGACCACCTTGGGGGCATCTCGGGGCACTCCTGGCCTGTGTTCAGGGGGCCAGGCCCCGAAAGTCACGCGAGAAGACTCGGGGAACCCCGTGATATCTTGGAATACAGTCAAGACGCTGAAATAAGGAACAGGTTGGGTTCGGAAGGGGCTCGATGTTCCTTAGGTTCCGCCAGTGCTGTTCCTCTTGCCCCCCTCCTGGGGCACGGAGGCGCTTGCAGGGCCAAGAAGGGGCTTCGTTACTTATTTAGCGTTCCTTCTTTCAGCGGCCCGACTGTATGGAGTCCTGGCCCAAAAGAATCCTCAGGATTGAAGGCTGAGGCTCAGGGAATCGGGCAATGGATCTGGGGACACTCCACCTCGTGCCACAGGGGCTCGGTGGCGGACTTGAAAATCCGCATAGGCGGCATGACGGCGATAGCCGCACTTGTGGAGCCCAAAGCCTGGATAGCGGGGCGCCAAAAACCTTCCAACATCTTCTCGAAGGAGCTTCCGACGGAGCTTCTGGAAAGCTTGACGGCACACGTATTGGGGAACAGTCAGAAAGGGCTTGCAGGAACATGCTGCAGCCTCACAGGAGGCGCTGCGAGGTGTTCTGCCAGGAGCTGACACTAGCTCCGGGGGTACCTTTGCCTGCCAGCTTCTAATCTGAAACCCTCTCAGCTCTCAGAGAGCTGTCCGGGAATTGTGAACACGGGACGCCCTCCATCCGTGTTGCTGATGGATGCGTTTCAGACGACCGTGTGCGGCTTTACATGCCACAGCCGCATCCTGAACACGGCTCGCCCACGATTTGTGTGGCTGGCGAAAGCCGTTGAAGCGAATGTGCTGGTGGGGCGAATGGAAGCGTCAAAGTTTGTAAACCGCCCTTCCTCTATGTGTGGAGCTCTTTGCGGTGTCCAGCTTCAGGGTCACGGCCGGTGATGAACTATCAAGCCAAGCGCCCAGCTCACCCTAATTCCCGACAGGCGTAGGTTTTTTTTTTCTGGTTGGCCACAGTTGGCCGAACCCGTCTCCTCCCGGCAACCCTCCGACGGCACTTCGCCATGCCGTCGCCCGCGCTGGCCAGGAGGAGGGAGGGAACAGCTCAGGGGAGCTCGAACGCCATGCCGACGCGGACTGCGGCGCCCTTCCGCCCCGGCTGCCCCAGCAGCGGCAGCGCGAGCCGCAGCCCCGCGGTCTCGGCGGGGGCTCACCGCGCGTGCCGCTGCTGGCCCCGTGCACCGCCTCGCGCCGCGCTGCATCCCCTCGGCGCCCCTTCGACCTCGTCGTTCTCGGCGCCGACCTGGACTTCAGTCGGGCCTGTCCCTCTACAGGGGGAATATTTCAAAATAGTAAAAATAGAGTCAGGGGACTATTATTGAGTATTCTTGGGCATCTTCTGAGCATTTTGCAAGTTTTTTTACTTTTCGTCCAAAATCCCCCTGTAGAGGAACACGCCCGACCTAAACCTAGACCATGCGCCACCACCATAACCTAGACCTCGACCAGAAGAAGAACAACCACAGAAACACAATTCAACTTTTTGCGCTCCCTGGCATGCGGAGCGCGCCAGGAGCGGCGCCGGAGGCGCCGCCAGGGGGGCCCAGCGCAGATCTGAGGAATCTGCGCGGAGCGCCAACAGTTTATACTTTTAGGTCGCTGCTTCTTCTTCGGCACCAGAGGCCGCCTTCCGCGCCAGGGCGAGGGTGCTCTGGCATTAAGTCGGGCCCGTCCCTCTACAGGAGGTATATTCAAAAAAGTCAAAAAATGATATGGGGACGATGTTGAAAGTATTTTGTTGACTGTAGTGGAGCATGTTTCTAGTATTTTGGTAATTTAGCGCCCAACATCCGCCTCCAGGGGGGCATGCCCGACCCAGCTCCGGCAGGCCTCGGCGGCGTTGTGCCTCGCCCCCCGCCGGCCTCCGCTTTTCAGCGTCGGCGGGCGCCTCGCGGAGGTCCCTCTGCTCCTGCTCCGCCCTCCGACTGCCTGGGCGTCGGCTCCACGACCTGCTGCGCGCCGGCCGCTCGCTGCCGGTGGCCGCCGAAGCCGGGGCCGCCCTCGCGGGCCTCAGGAGCTCAGCTTCGAGCGCTGCGACCATGGCGTCGTACTGGCTCCCATGCACATGGGCCAGGGATCAGAGAAGGAAAAGGTACCCATACCTCTACCCCCTCGCCCGTTTTCTTCCCCGTTTCGGGCCTCCTTGGAGGCCCTCGTCGCCACCGCTGGATTCGCCTCGAAATCATGGTCAGAACGCACCCCAGGAGAGGTCCGGGGGGTCGCGGTATCGGTACCTTTTGGTATCCCCAAGGGAAATAGAACCCTACACCCACGTAACATGCACAACAGGACGAAGGCCGAGATGAGCTCGGTCTTGGTGCAGATGGAGGCGGCCACAAAGATGTTGACCTCTCGGAGGAACCCTCGAAAACGTAGACCCCAAAGCACTAGGGCACCGCGAAGATACCGTCCAAGCCAAAATAGCTATGAATTCCTCGTCGTGCGTCGCAGGGCACAGGTGGCCAAAGACGAACACCCGCCGGCCATGTAGCCGCCGATGGACATGCAGGAGAAGAACTCCGCCAAGGAAAAGAAAAGAACTGTGTCGGCCGTGGGGCAGACGTGAACTCAGCGACCACCCACTTGTTGAAGACGCAACGCCCCAGGGTGCCAACGAAGTAGGTGCGTGCCTAAGCCTCTGATTCCACGCTGAACGCGCCAACCGGGGAAAGGATCACCCACCCATCCCGCGGGCGTCGGTCCGATCTCATGTCACGAGAAGTTACCTTCTGGCAGCCAGGATGTAGAAGAGAAACTGGCCAGTAATCGAGAACGGCGGTAAAAGGGATGTCGTAGAGATTGTTCAAGCAGGCGAATTTCATGAGCGCCTCCGCGCCCCAGTTGGGGTCTCATGATAAAGGGTTCCGCTATGTGTACGTGAGTGCCCTCGACGGGCTGTTCATACATGTTGACCCGGTTCATGTAGCCCTTCGTAGCATATTTGCCAAAAAGGTATTTGCCCCTTGTCGGGAGCACGAACAAAAAGGCTCATGAAAACGCTCAGCCCCTCGCGGATGCGAGGCCCAACCACACGGGTTCGATACCGAGGACGTAGTTGTCGTAGTGGTCCATGCCGTTGTATTGGCTCGTCTGCACATGGGCCATGATGAGTAAGTTCTACACCACCCACATAGGATTCAGATCGAGATGCATTCAGTCTTGACGAAGGTGTTCTAGACGATGCTATAAGAGTGCACGAGGGAGTAGACCTCGAAGTGTCGGGACACCGCGCAGATGCCGTCCCATATCGGCTATGAATTCTTTGTCATGCGTAACCAGGCGCTGGTAGCCGATGACGAACGCCTGGCGACCTTGTAGCCGTCGATTGAAATGCAGGAGAACAACTCCGCCAGGAACGTCAACGAGAGGGACGTCGGCCGGGGGACGCCATCGGCTTCGCGGCTACACGGTGAAGCCTCAAAGACCTTGCGGACGCCGACGCAGTAGAGGAAGTGCGTGCCTAGGCCTCTGGCTTCACGATGAAAGCGCCAACCGGGGAAAGGATTACCGACCAGTCCCGCCGTCGCCGCGCTGCTGTCCAGCTTGGTGTGCAAAGTCACGACCTCCTGCTGCATCTGCTCACTGTGTCGATGTCCTTGCACTGGGGTATTTTTCTCTCCATGTCAATCGCCCGTGGCTCCACGCACTTCTCCTCGAGCTTAGAGCTCATCGCTGCCGACCTCGGCCTGCCCTTCGATTTCATCTGCACGATCTCATCGGAGGCTGACTCCATGAACACGCCTCGCATGTCATGCAGCAGCCGCACGTCCGGATGCCCCGCCGCATTGCGAAGCTTGCTCATCTTGCTCAGTCGTGAGGCGACGCCCTGGGCTCCACGCTCGCGCAGGGCCGCCTCCG